ACACACAGGGCAGTGCCGCTGGGAAACCAAGAACACCCTGGCTCTGAGTCCTGTCTAGTACAAGGTGCTGGCCATGTACTAGACAGGACTCAATGGTCAGGGGCTGGCATCCCTGAGGGTTACTCCTCTCCCAGCTGTACAGTCCCAGCTGGGTCAGGGGGTGCCTCCAGGCTCTTTCATTACTCACATGATCCCAGAGAATAAAGTTTCCGATCACCAGAGAGAGCTTTGGGCTGGGATCAGAGCCTCCATCCCAGATGTGACACAGACCAGCCAGCAATTTCTGGGCACCATCAGTGCCCCACTCACAGCTCTGACCCCAGGCCCTTCCCAGGTGCTCTCCCTGCCCCCACCCTCAACCTGAATCCGACGTCGGCTAAGCCAGGGGACTCTGTGAAGATCCAGTGTTCTGTGAGCTCCCAGCCCCTGCCCACCCGCATCGTCTTCTGCAAGGACGGGGTGGAGGTTTCATCCCAGAAGGGTTTGGAGAAGACTGTCTACAGCCATGACGATAAGGTGTCCGGGGGCAGCTCTGGGAATTACTCCTGCAGGTACGAGATCAAGGGCAACAACAACCAGGTGAACAGATCCCAGCTCAGCCCTGCCAAGTACCTCAGCGTCACTGGTAAGGGGTGTGTGTGTGTCTGTCTGTCTATCTGTGGTCTAGCTCAGCTCCATTCAGCAACTCAGTATCCCACAAAATGGAGATGGGGGTGAATGGCAGGGTGAGGCAACAATTCAATAACCAGAGCCCGAAAAATGCAAACGCTGAAATGTATCAAAATCAGAAACAAAATTGTTCTAACAAAACAGTTTAGTTCAAATGTAGACCCAGAGAGTCAGGCCCCTCCAGTTTTACCCAGATCACCTCCAATGGCCTGACACAAAGAGGAGAGGAGGGGAGGGCCAACCTTGGGTGGATGCAGGGCCTGAGTCAAACACCCCCCCCACACAAACACAACACCACAGGCACAGGGTTAAGGGTAGCCCCCCCCCCATGCTACCCTCTTATCCCCTGGCCAGCGTGACACATGCAGGAGGGCTGTCCCACGCCGGCCCCCAGTTTAATCTTAGGGGTGGGAGCTGGAGCCGCTCCACAGCCGGTTCCACTCCACCGAGTCGTGCCGCCCTCCCAGCACACTGAGCTTCGATTCTCTATGGCAGCGGAAAGCAGAGACCCTGGGGCCAGGGCACCCTGCTCCCCTGTGCTGCAGAGAAGCCAAGTGCATCAGGCTGGGACACGGCAGCAGGGCAGGGGCAGAGCAGGCTGCTGGGCCGCTCCAGCTCCCACCTCCAGGGTGAGTGCAGAGGGTGGGGGCAGGGTGATCCCTGCTGCCTTCCCATGGCGGCCTGTCCACAGGATGATTGAGGCAGCCACCGTGGAGCACCCCAAAGTGGAGGGCTTGGGGGAGCCGCCAGCCAAGTGCATCAGGCTGGGACACGGCAGCAGGGCAGGGGCAGAGCAGGCTGCTGGGCCGCTCCAGCTCCCACCTCCAGGGTGAGTGCAGAGGGTGGGGGCAGGGTGATCCCTGCTGCCTTCCCATGGCGGCCTGTCCACAGGATGATTGAGGCAGCCACCGTGGAGCACCCCAAAGTGGAGGGCTTGGGGGAGCCGCCCTGAACCATCCTATGGACTGGACAGCTCTGGGGGAGGGGACCTCATGGAAAAGTCTCATTGGAAGGGACCATGAGACGCCCTTGGGCCCAGCCCGCTGACCTGAGGCAGGACCAAGTACCCCTGGCCCATCCCTGCCAGGGGATTTTCCCTCCTGTTTTGATCAACCCCAGTGACAGGGATTCCACAGCCTGTTCAGGGCTTCACTCGCCCATTGGAACCACAGACTCGTAGCTCCAGTCCCCTGCACTCAGGGCAGCACCAAGTGTTGTCTGGACCTTTCCTGTTAGGGGCTTCTCTAAGGGTATGTCTACACTACAGCACTAATTTGAACTAAGCTAATTCAAACTAGTGCATCTAGACCTAAAAACTAGTTCGAATTAGCATTTTGCTAATTCGAACTAGCAGGTCCACATTGAGTGGACCCTGAACCGAGGTTAAGGATGGCCGGAAGCAGTGCCGGCAGGGCATCAGATTAGGACTTAGAGCGTGGAGCTGCTGTCTCAGGCTAGCCGAGGGCTGTGCTTAAAGGGACCCAACCCCCACCCCGGACAGACAGTTCTCAGGGGTTCCCCGCTTGCAAAGCAGTCCTGGCTTGGAGTGCCCTGAGTGCCCACACTCGGCACATCACAGCACTTGGCCATCAGCCCGGCTGCACTTGCCGCAGGCTGCCATCCGGGGGGGGTCAATCAAGGGGCTTCAGGAGAGCCACCCCAGTCCTCCCCATCGGGGGCTCGTACCCATTCCTCCCTCACCTCCTTCCACTTACCCCTCGCTAGCCTCAGTGCTCCTAACCCCTCTGTCCAGCTCAGGTTGGCTAAACCTTTGGTCAATGTTGTTGATCCCCTCTGGACTCTCCCCAGCTTCTCCACCTTTTTGCTAAAGTGCCACCCCCAGAATTGGCCCCTGTGCTGCAGCTGAGGCCTCATCAGTGCTGAGCAGAGCGGCACAGACACCTCCCCTGTCTTACACACACTCACCTGCTAGACTCAGATCCATGTTGTGACCTACCCCACGTCCAGGGCCTTTCAGCATCCCTGTCCCCAGCCAGTGACTGCCCGTGGTCAGTTGTGGTAGAGCAACATAGGGGCCTGGACTGGACCACGGCCTGCTCTGATCTGTGTGTTTGTTGCCTAGGTGATGACTCCAGCAGTGGTGCCAGGATTCCCTCTCCCCCAGGTAAATGCTTCTGAAGCGCTTCTCTGTTGTGGGGTCTCTAGTTAGGGAAGAGTGGGTCCTGGCTGGACAGCCCCAGTCTGAGTGTGATGGCCCTGAGGATGGATGTGGGGAAACACACAAGAGCTGTGCGTGTCCAATGCGGCGCTCTCTCTCCCTGCAGCTCTCTCAGGCTTTGCCCAGCATTGCTGAGCAATATAGGCTCTGCATATCTGCACCTCTTAGTAACTCTTGCCAGAGCGACCCTAATGCTGTCTGGGCCTCAAGAGCACGTGGGGACTCGGGATTTCTGTCCTGAGAGACATTCTGACCTTCCACATTTTATTTCCGTCCTGAATCTGGATGGAGAGTCAAAATTTCAGATTTTACATGAAACAAAAAATCAGCCACATTTCAGTTCTGAAAGACTGAAGGGTCTTGTCGACAGGAAAACAAAGATTGGCAAAAAAACAAAAAACAAAAAAACCCTCCTCAAAGAACAAACTGTGGGAAAGAACAGATCGAGATGAATCTTGGAGTTTGTTCATGAACACACTAGGGTCACTTACCACAGGACTCAGCCAGCTCTAGCCAGTGGGGACTAGTTGGTGGATGCTTGGAGAGGGGCCGTTCACAGCGAGGTTCTTTTCTAGGGATGGGTCGAAAGCTCCTGTTGGGAATTACAGTCCCTGCTGCTGCCGTGGTGCTGGCTGTGGTGCTTTATCTGCTGGGAAGGAAAGGTGGGTATGAGAGTGAGGCCGAGCCATGTTAGCAAATTTACAGACAGACGTGGCAGACACCCCCCCTGAGATCCTCTGTCCCCTGTGTGCCTAGGATGGAGGAGAGAAAACAGCAAAGATGCAGTGAAATGGATCACATGGTTTTGGGAAGCTGGTTGGAGGCAAAGATCAAAGAGATGATGAAAGGGATTGTCCTATGATTAATTAGGACCACTCTGGAGCCCCAGTCAGAGATCAGAGCCCCACTGTGCTAGGTGCTGTACATTATTTAGTAGGTTTGTTACTGTAGAGCCCTGTAGTCCCACTCAGGGATCAGGACCCCTCTGCATCCAGTGCTGCACAGACTAGTAATGAAGGGGCCAGTCCCTGCCACATAGATAGTCACAATCTCGGGCTCAGCCGGGGCGTGTGTCTGGATAGAATAGCAACACGCAGGTCACTGAGGCTGCAGGTCAGGGAGGCATCCCCTAGTCAGGAAGGGCCCCTGTGCCCGTGTGTAAAATGATTCTTGAATCAGGACTGCAGCAGGGTCTAACAACTCTGAGCACAGAGCCCTGGGCACAGCTCTGCCCTGCAGCCTTTCCTCACAGCGCCCCAGCCCCCAGCTCTCACAGCCTCCAGTCACCCCGACCAGTTCGAGACTGGCTCAAAAGTCATGGGATTGCCAACAAGTCACCCGTGTAGAGTGTCAGAAGTGTAGCCGTGTTAGCCTGTAACTGAAAGAAACTTTAAAAACAATGAATGGTCCTGGAACGCCTTAGAGACTAACTAAAAATCTGGATAGTGTCATGAGCTTTCATAGATTCTTTGTATTTGCCTGGGGGATGCGATCTTTGGAGGTCTTTGGGTGATATTTTCAGGGTTTTCACCTCAAACAGAAGGGTTATAAACTTACTTCTGCTTTTTCATAATGAAATTCTTGCTAAATCCCTGACTCTCAGACCTTGGAGTTTATGTAGAACATGAAACGCCATGTGACTGACTCTACTGTCATTAGACGTGGTCATACCAGACCCAGTGGCAGTTGGGGGGCTGGTGGAGGAGAGCGCTGGGCTGGGCCATGGGGAAGAGGCTCTGTCAAGATGATGAGGAACTGAGGCTGTGTTGTTCAGTTTCTGTCTCTCTCTCTCTCTCTGCCTATGAGGAAACGTGGCCCTGTCTCTGATCACTCTGTCTCGCTGTTTCCAGTTGTGTCTCTGCGAAGAGACCAAAGGTAGGAGGAGACTGTTCCTTCTCCCTCGTTTCCTTCCTGCGTCTGGTCTCTCTGCCTCAAATGAGGGCCAGCAGCCACCCTAGAGTCCAAGCAGAGCTCAGCTCTCCTGCTGCGGGGGGTTGAGTCTGTTTGTTCTGGAGGAGTTTTGGAAAGGCCGTGGGCTTTACAGAAGGGGGTTGTCACAGTGCTGTGCTCCTGTCCAATTCACGGGCTGCAGAGCGAGTGTGTTTGAAAATCCCCATGGAATGGCTGAAAGAAGGAAAGTGACCCTGTTTTACACTCAGGGGGTGTCAAGGCTGATCAGCCACAAAGAGGCACCGACCGACCCAGCCAGTCCCCTAGAACCAGATCTGTTCTGGGGCGGGACTGGGAGTGGCCAAGCCTGGCTGAGAACCAAGGGTCTCCAGCCCATCTAGCTGCCGGGGTAACATCCAACGGTAGCTCCATCGGAGGCAGCTTTTGAGTCTTTGTGAAGGAAGCCAGCCTGGGCCCGCCCCCATACACACACCTCCTCAGGAAAGCCGGGCAGCAGGGGGTCCCATGGGCACTCAGAGCACACTGTAGTGTGAGTAACTTCCAAGTGCTCCTGGCTCGCTATCTGCCCCCCTCGCCCCATGCACAGAGACCCTGCAGAGAGTCCCTGAGAGTCACTGCCCCGGCTCTGCAGCAGCACCAGGCTCCCCACAACTGCTGCTGCCTCCCTCTCTGTCCCTTCCGCAGCTCTCCAGGCTCACTGCCGACCCCAAGGCCCATTTGCTCATTCTGAGCCCTGAAGCGGGGCAGAAGGAACCAGTGGGAGTCCATGGGGTGACCAGCTGGGCACAGAGAGGGACAGGCATGTGGGGAGACTAGAGTCAGTTTCCAGGTTCTGTCAGTGTCTGGCCCAGCCTGGGCTCCCACTGCAGCAACTTTGCCAATAAAACTGATGGGATTAGGGGTGACACAACAGAGACCCTCAGTGCTTGGAGCCCACACCCCAACTTCCAGTTCTGTGTGTCCCCCACCTCTAGGGCTCTAAGGGTATGTCTAGACAGCAGCGCTATTTCAAGATATTCCGGTCTCCCAAAATAGCATTTTCCACATCTTAACGGCATGCCTGTGATTTCAAAATGCAATTGAAATAATAGGTGCTCTACTCTGATGTCCCAGTAAACCTTGTACCACAAGGATTAAGGGACTTGTTGGCATAATGGTCTATTTCAAAATTTGATGCTGCATAGACAGTGCCGAATCTCAAATCTCAGAACTATGCAACATGCCTAGTTGAAATTACGTAGCTTTTTTGAGCTAGCGCTGCTCTGTAAATGCACCCTGACTGTAGCTGCCTCTCCCCAAACATTCCTTCCTTTCCCGCTCCTCCCATATGACCAGGCTCTGCCCCCAAACACCCCCCACCCGCCCTTCCTGGGACAGGGGAGCCAGTTGGCAGACTGCACAGAAAGGAGGCTCTGAAACTTCATTTCCACATTATGCAAAGACATTAAAGTTGACCCTTAAGGATAAGCATTCAACCTCTGCCTTCTGAGCAGGCCTGGGCCAAATATCCAGTTTTATTTGGGTGAAAATTTTTCAAATAAAAAAAAGGTCTAATTTTTTACAGAAAATGTGGGAGGAATTTGACAAAAAAATCAAAGAGAAACAAAACAAAATGTCCATTAAAAAAAACACAGTTTTGGCCAGTCAACTCACTTTGGCAAAAATACTGTTCACGGAAAGCAAACTTGTTGAAAATTGTCACCTGGTTTACACTGTGTGAAAGCTGTGGGGTTCTCATCACCTTCCGTCCTAAGAGGTCAGGGATTTACAGTTCCCTCCAGTCTTAGCTCTCTACTGACCTAGTGGCCAATTTGTGGAAGCAGAGTACAATGGTCAAGTCTCATCTTTATTAGACTTCCTCTCTGTGAAAGGTGAAGCTTTTTTTTTATCCAGATTATCCCTGGTTATTCAGAATTAGGGCTCCCTGCCTGTTTGCTGAGTGTGAGCTGAATTGAGATGTAAGGATGTAAGAGAACCAGTCATGGTAAGAAATCTGCAGAGCTGAATCTCTGAAAACAGGCTCAGTATCACCAAAGTGACACACAGAGAGCGCGCAGCATCACTGATATGCTCTGTCCTTGCTTCTCCCCACAGGGAACGAGTCCAGCATGACACCAGCAACAATCCAGAAAATCAGATTCAATGTAAGAGCTTTTGTAGAGCATTGGGGTTGCCACAGTCACCTGTACATGGGGGAGAAATGTGGGGCCGAGAGGAAATGTGAATATTGGTGGCAGGGATGGACAAATCCCAGCTCAGACTCTCTGAGAGTTACATCAACAAACTGCCTGTGATCAAAGTGAATGAGAAGAAAAAGTTCTCAGGGTTCCGGGGCCTGGGGCATCTAAGTTCCTGAGGTTCCTTTGTCCCACCCTTTCCTGTGACCCCTGCATTGCCAGGGCTTAGGTGACTGAGGCAAGTGTTACCTCTGTCCTTCCTTCATGGAAAGGCACATCCCAGGGAAAGCTCCCACTGGAAAGGGCCCCACCCCCGTCACTGGGAGCCGGGGGCAAGAGTACCTCATGGGAGCTGTAGTCCAGATGCCTCAAGCTCCTAGTTTCCTCTTTGAACCAGGCTCTCTGGCTCTCCCATGATGCATCACCTGCATGGGTATGTCTACACTACAGAGTTTTGTCAGAAAAATGGCCATTTTTCCGACAAAACCTGAGGAACATCCACACTGCTATTGCATTCTTCCTCAAGAAAATCGAAAGAACAGAGGGGGTTTTTCCGACACTGGTAATCCGCATTTTATAAGGAAGAAGCCTTTTTGTGAAAGAGCTCTTTTGGAAAAAGGTGTGTGTGGACGGGGAAGAGGGAGTTCTTTCGGAAGAAGAGGAAAGAGGAAAAAATACAGGTGCCCTGGTGGCCACTCCATCCATAGCAATCACAGCTTACATGCGAGAGAGCCTCCATTGTGTCTGGGCACTCTCTTTCAAAAAAGCAGATTGCTTTTTCGATGCGCTTTTGCAGTATGGATGCTCTCTTTTGGAAGTTTTTCCAGAAGATCTCTTCTGAAAAAAGTTTTTTCTGAAAGAATCCTTAGTCTAGATGTAGCCTATGGGAGTTCCCAGTTGCAGTGCATCATCGGAGATGAAGTGGAGTCAGCCAGCCCAAGCTGTAGCAGAGAATATGAACATGAGGCAACTGAATTACAACTCCCATGCGGCTCCTTGCTGGTATCTGAATCAGAATATTTCTGGGGTTTGCCAAAATAGTTCAGAATTTAGGCTCTCCCTTTTTGAACAAAACGTTGGCATTTTCTGCCAAAGGCTGACTCTGTGACAAACTAACTCTCTTGAAAACCCAAACAGACCAATTCTGTTGGACATCTTCACAAGCCATATAAAATCCTTCTGCTACCGTATCTCCTAAAGACCCTGACTGGGACCAGGCTCCATGGTGCACAGTGCTGCCCATGGGAAGCCCTGCCCAGACGGGGGTAGTGGTTAGATCTGTAGGGTTATAATTCATGCTGAAGAAGGTGTTGTCACTTACACTGAGTGCCAGCAAGTAACTGCCCTTCTCTCCCCAGATGCCTCCGTGAATTTCTCAAGAAGCACTAGGGTGAGTCGCACTTTTATTAATGACAAAGTGAGGTGAGAGCGGAGAGCGATTGGTTTGCCTGTTCCAGCTCGGCAGGGACCCATGGGCTTGGAAAGTGGATTTCCTGCCGACTATCAGCCATTCTACTGCTGCTTTTTATCTCCAATGGCCAGAGATGGGGCACTAGATGAGTCAAGCTCAGGTGTCTGGCTCGTGGGTTTGCCCTCATGATCAGCATCTAACGCATCAACGTATTTGTGGTCAGGAAGGAATTTTCCCCTGGATCACATTGGCAGAAACCAACGGGTATATCTGTCTTCCTCTGCAGCACGGGGCAACGATCACTTGTAGATTTGAACTATTGTAACTTTGTGGTGTCTCTGTAACATTTGAGCATTGGTGTGCTAAACTTAGGGTTGCGAGTTCAATCCTTGAGGGGGCCATTTAGGGATCTGGGGCAAATCTGTCAGGGATGGTACTTGGCCCTGCTATGAGGGCAGGGGACTGGACTAGATGACCTCTCAAGGCTCCTTCCAGCTCTATGAGATGGTATATCTCCATATATATAACATGAAGTCATCAAATAATGATTTGGGGAGGTCAGTAACTCAGCCAGAGGACAGAGATCTATTACAAGATGGGGTGGGTGAGGTTCTGTGGCCTCCAACGTGCAGGCAGTCAGACCGTATGATTGTGATGGTCCCTTCTGGCCTTGAAGTCTCTGAGTCTGAACTGACACCTCATCACAGGTAGACCCGGCACTATCTCAAGGGCTGGCTGGCATGGAGAGGGGAATGGCTGCTGTGTCCAGCTGGCAGGTGTAAGGGCAAAGCTGAACTGTCCTAACTGGAACACATAAAATGGTCAGACCCAGGCTGGGGCGGGGGAAATCTGAGCCACCTGCCTCAGAAGAGTTGATGTAGGAAGTGGAGTTGCTGGTGTTTCCCAGCTTGGATGCCCATTAGAATTTCTCCTGATGTGCACACAGCAGGGCTGTCAGAGGGGCATTTTCTGGCTTCAGTTCTCTGACCTTAGGCTGGCTGAGGAGAACAGTCACATTTTGGTGTTTTACAGTCACAGTCACAGCCCCAGCGAGAAGAGACTCCGACCTATGCAACCATCGCGCTGCAGCGGGACAGACGTCATGACTACTCCAGTCACTGAAACATAGGACTGGTCAGTACGCAGCCACGTCGCAAAACCTCCACAGATCAGTGGGAACCATAGAGGCCGTGCAGCAAGGAAGTGGGGGACCTTGCCTGGGGCCACAGCAGCACAGTGCCCAGCGCCCAAAGTGCTGTAGGACATTGGAATAGGCTGAAGACAAATGCTGCCTGTTTGCCTTTTGTAAAAGAAAAAAAAGTTTCTTCTGAATAAAATTTGGAAAAAAAACCCACTCTTGTGTTCCTCTCCCTGAGTCTTTATATCAGTAGCTCAGCTCCCAAGTCCTCTCAGCTCTGTTTGGAAACTCTATTACCAACCCAAAGTGCAAAAAATCATGAGGCAACCCCCCCAAAATCCCAGGATTGCCTTAGGAATTCATGAAATGTTATTTAAACTTATGCATCTTGTTTCCTTTTATTTGCCTTGTGATGTTTGAGCTTTTGGGGGCAGGTTTTCCCACTGTTCTTCCCACCCAGGGGGGCTAGAAACAAACTCACTTCAACAAACCCCAAGAATCTCACATCCTTCCACCCCCCTTTGCAGTTCAGCTTTAAGAAAAACAGTAAATAATATGAGATGTGCTGTGAAATCAGCCTCAGCTGGTCAGCTTGGTATTTCCAGGTCTGTTTAGTGTTATGTGGGTCTGTAGGGAAGTGATGAAATATGAAAGCCAAGCAAAAGCATTAGTCACAACTATGGGTTTGTGTAACTGTTTGGGAACCTCATCCAGCAAGCGCAGCCATGTAGGTACCATAGAACATCATGCCAGTGGTTGGGTCCCTGGGAAGCAGTCACTGTTTGAAGCAGTTACATTTTGGTGCATAGGTTGGAGCCAATGGTTGGCAGGAATTCTAGACTGACGGTCTAAAAACAGAGTATTAGAGCAGTGGTGGTATGAGGCTGGGGGCTTTGGAAAATATCACCACTGAATCTAGGGTATGTCTACACTTGCCTCCTACTTTGAAGTAGGGAGGCAAATGAAGCATACCGAAGTTGCTAATCAAGGCTGGGATTTAAATATCCCTCGCTTGATTTGCATGTTCCCGGACGGTCGTCATTTTCGAAATTCACAGCCCGGAGTAACTGCCCATGTCTACATGCGGCAGTGAAACGGGAGTCCAATTTAAAGCCCTAACTCGAATTAGCTGGTATTCCTCCTGCAATGAGGTTTACCAGCTAATTCGAATTAGGGGCTTTAAATCAGACTCCCGTTTCACTGCCGCATGTAGACGCGGGCAGTTACTCCGGGCTAGTGAATTTCTAAAATGATGACCGGCCGGGAACATGCAAATCAAGAGGCAGAGCCCTCCCCCAAGCTAGAGGTGCTACAGGGAGGTCTCACATGGGGGGGTCACATGCCACCCTTCCCCCGTGTACCCCAGCAGTGCTGTAACACAGTGGGGGATAGCGAACCTGACCTGGCCTCCTTCCCCACAAATCAAAAGACAGCTATCTCAGCCACAGAAATCTGGGCATCCGGATTCCCCTTGTGCTCCAACCTCACAGGGGGGGGGGGGCGGTTCCTGAAACTCGGAGACTTCCTGCAGGACTGGAGTGCAAGTACCGGCTCCTCCTGCTGCAGGGGAAGCTCCGACTTGTGTCTGGGGCATTATTGCTGGGCATCGTGCACCCCAGGGGTGACCCAGGAGGGGGCTATGACGAGTCACATGCCCAGGCAGGAGGGGCTGGCCAACAGCTGGCGGAGGGACTAGCTGGGGGGCCTGCCCCCTGCACCATGGGTCTGAGCCCCCTGCACTCACCAGCAGGGGAAGTGGAGTGAGGCGGTCCCAGGTTTGCTCTCCTGGCCACAGCAGGGAGGGTAAAAAAAAAACTGGACACACTTGATCTGGGGCAGGAGCGGGAGGGACCGGCCAGGAGGGGAGCCGGGCTGGGGGGAAACAGAGCTGGCGGGGGGGG